GGGACGGCTAGCGCAGATAGCCCTCATGTAGCTTTGCGCGAAATCCTTGACAAACAAACAAACCATACCCATGATGAGCAAATCAAAAATAGCCAATTATGTAGATTTGCGCTTAGAAACAACCAATATTAAAGAATATACATGCAAACTCTGTTTGGGTGGTTTTAAAGATCTAAATATATACTAAACAGGCAACTGAACTAAAAATTTCAATACTGTAAACTTAACTCAGTTGTTCTTTTTTTGCTTCCCATTTCGTTGAATGACAAACATTTTATACGCGTTAATATCAGGTGCGGGTACTGATCACAGTACATATGCCAATAAATCGCGTGATTTGGATATATTTATTTTTATTGACCAATCATATAAATCACACAACCAGATGAGACTACCCGATTGGTTTAGTAATGACAGACAGCTAAATAACTTTTCCTCATGATCTTGCTGCCAACAAGAACTAATGTCCTTAGGTCATTTACTGGTTCATTTAAAGAATATTAAACATTTATTTAGATGCTGTGAGTCATGACGTGTCAGACAGTACGATGGAAGGAACGCGGGTTGGACGAAAAACAGGCCGAATAAGCATTAAAATATTTCTTGCTACTAAGCAGTGCCTGAATTGAGTGGATTATATGATAACGCTGTTCCCTTGCTGACAGAAAAAACAAAACGGAACCTCTGACTGTCAAATGCCTGATTTCGAGAACGTGTATCTATGAGTCGATTTCAGGATTTCTTCTTGTAAACTTTTTACAACTAGGATGCTGGTACTGATTGCCAGTGAGAATTGGCAGAATTTCACAAATGCTGTAAACTTACTTTTAGTTTTTCTTGTTAAATATCACTGAATGTTGCTGCATAACTTAAACGCTCGTGACACGTTTACTAAAACATGCAATATATAGGCGATATACCAAAGCCTGCACCGACAATCATGTGTAATCCATAGGGATATATTCTGTTTACAACTAGCGTCTAATTGAGCTAATTCAATTACATTTTCAAATATACTAAGTTATGAAAATGGAACAAA